ATTTGCTATTTTAAAATCCCTTTTCTCTTATTGATTGTTCTTGCTATGTTAATCTGCTTTCCAGCTTYCCACCCCACCTTCAGTAACTTTTGAACCTGTCAGTCAATTGCAATCCAATTCAGGAGAGAGAAATTAGTTCTCACTACTTCACTGAAAATAAGCAAGATGCACAGAGTCTGAAAGGTGAAAGGGTGYGGTAGGGACTCACTAATTAATTGTGGCTGCTCCCTGCCCAGTTTAAACTGTGCTGTGGGTTACATGGGATTTAGTCCAAGGTTACATGGGATTCACTCCAAGTTGAGGGTGCTGTCCATCCCTTATGATGTGAGCAATAATAAACAAAAGGTGGAAATTTTAGTGGGAAGAYTGGGCTGCAGGACACAGCMATGGGWTAGCAAACTCCACTAGTTTTACCAATTACAGGATGATTTCTTTACACTGCAAAGATTCAGTGGTGCCTGAACYAAAAAAAGGCTGCTGTTCATTGTGTGTATTGCTACTACAAATTCCCAAATGGAAGAGCCACAGGGACTGACACAAGTGAAAAATACTGCAAAAGCACAGGTGACCCAAGTTGAGAAAAGTTAAAAAYAGGAATCTGGACCATCGGGATCTCTTGGAGACAGAGAGAAATGAAAGCCCTGTATCTTGTCACGTGAGARAGGGTTGAAAGATGCTGAAGCAACTTATTCCATCAACGGGATGGTAACAATTTCCAGTGCTGTGATTTTTTTTTTTTGGGAAATTGAGCCAGTACTTTTATAACAAATACAGTCATCCCCTCTGAAGGATAAAACCCCTTGCTGATGAACAGGTGGTAGAGATACAGAGGATGATGATTTACATTCCAGTCAGGGATCTCACTGAAAGCAGGATCAGGGGCTGTACAAACACCATGGTTCCACTATTAAGATGACGGCCAGCAGGCAAAAGTATTTGATTTTTCCACAGTGACAGCCTGACAAATCACCAGCTATTTATTAGATCCTGAATCAAACAGCTGAGGCCAGACCATTGTAAGCAATTTTAATAAGCAGTAAATTGCACACTGCAAACAAAAAGTGTTTAGAAGATTCTATGGCCTGACCAGATGGAAGGGGAAACTCTCACAGGGGCAAAAAAAAAAATACTTCTTTTTCATCTTATATAGCTATATATCTTCCTTCTGTCACWAAAAAACACTTAGCCAACTGAGCCTGAAGGGCTGTTGAGAATCAAAATGAGATCCATCCATGAAACTAGCCTGTCTTCTTCACAGTCTTGATTACTTCCATTTTCCCAGTCCTACATAACCTTTACCAGCTTACCATGTCTTAGTTTTTCATGAAATTCTCCTTCCAGAACAAGATTACAACCCTCTGGTGTGCATTTGAAGACATTTCCATAGGAGAAAAATAGGTAGGCTGATGGGATAACAGAGAAGTTTAGAATCCCTTTACCAAGTTTCTTCCTTTGAAAACAAGTTACTTTGGTATCATAACTCTTCCTCCTTTAACTTTTGTCTCTCGACTGGCTGATCCCTTTATCAAAGGCTGGGGCTTTATTACTTGCTGGGAAGAACAAGAAGACTTTTGGCACAATTGGAAAAGGCAATTACACTGTCACCACTTCTGACTGGCTATGGCAGTACCTCAGATCTGCAGCACATTTCCATTAGTAGAAGAAACTGTTAAGTGAGTCAGATATCTCTTTGATTCATACACAAAGAAGGCACACAGARTGCTGCTTCCTTTCTGGAACATCAGTCATATAGTAAAGGAAAATAACACTCCATATTTTAAGTTTTCTTACTTTTATTCTATTTGGAACACTTCAGCCAACAGTGCTTTTGCTTGGCTTTTAAAAGGGTCACAGTGCTAGTGCTTCTCTGCTGTTCTCAGCTTYCCACTGCCCTCTCGGTCAGCTACTGTGTGTGACAAATCTGGGCTTCTCTGCCAAAACTTGCAGGAACACCTCTTCCCAACACACAGCTCCCCTGGCAAWACCTGAGGCTATACCCTCACATTTAGCCTCCTGCCTAAGTTCTGCAAGTCTAATCTGCTTTGCCTCAGATGCTGTTTCAACTACTTGAGAAGGAACAGTTTCTTGTAAAATCCATTCTGAAGAAAAAGAGGCCACTGAAGAGACTAGTTTAGCAAAGTTCTCCTCTCTATGCCTTCCTTCACCACCATAAACCTTCTTGTCACCATCATTTACATGAATCATTCACTTTCTGTGCTCCAGAACAATTGTCCTGACACAGGCTGGGGCAGTGGGCCATCTGTGAACAGGACCATTAATATACCCTTAGGAGAGAGTGAATGAAGGAGGCCACTTAAAGAGATTATCCCTCTCCAGTATTTCCCTGTCAGATTGCAGTGATCTCTAATTCAGGGACTTTCTGAGCTTAAGTCTGCATATGACTGATAATATTTAATACTCTATTTCTTCAGGAATCTRTCTAGCTATTTTTTTAATCTACTTATAATTTTGATGGCCATAAAGTTTGGTAGCAAGATTTGCTATTTAAATATGCATTGTGTGAAAAAAACCTACTTCTTTTGGTTTTAAATCTGAAACTTGATAGTTCAGTTTCAGGCCTCTAATTCCTGCGTCTTGAGGAATGGATACTTTTCTATTTGCAGTATCCACCTTAGCCATGACTTTTTAAAACAGTGATCATATCCCACAGTTACCTGAGCTGAGCTGAGCAAAATGCTGTCCTGGGGGAAAAAAAGCTCACTGATACCTTCAACATTCTTACCATTGTGCTTTGAACCTTCTCTTGTTTATGCAGCTTGGACAGTGAGAACTGCCAGTGCCAGTCTGCTCTGTGTTGCTTACATAATCTGACAGAAGTCTTCCAATGCTAAAAGTTAGGAGATAAATGTTTGCTGTTAATTTTTTTTACAAAAATCCATATGCCTATTTTTATTGCATTCATTTCTTTCAACGCTTTCCTCTTTTAAAACAAAGCCTGGATTTTAGACAAGGCTGCTGAGCAGTGATGCTGTAATGTTTAAAGCCAGCTCACTTTTATAAACTCTATGTAGTTTATTTTAAGGAAGCCACTTGTCCACTTTCAGCATCATATAAAGCTGATCTCCTAGGAAGCTTTCATGTCAACTGACTGGAGGTCTAGATTGATGGAGGCATGGGCAGGTCTCCAGGGCAGCAGGGAGAGTAACTTAGAAAGACAAATGTTCTCCCTCTAATCAATTCTCCTGCCCTGCTACTGTCACTAGCCCCTGACACATAGATTTGTGTCAGATGAGCTCTTGAACCCTCATTCTGTGGCTGTATGTCTGCAAATGGCTGAGTGGCCTGGTTTCAACTGGGATAAGAGTTGTTTGGTTTTGGTTTTTTTTTCTGGTATAAAACACATTTTTTACCAATGGGAAGCACTGCAGAGAAGCAAATGAGAGGACATAATTGCATAATTTTCAGTCATTATATATATGAGGGGAATAGAGACAAAAACAGGGAGCAAGAGAGAAGCTTGGGCTTCATTATTTTTTTCTGGAATTTTAAACTTTTCATAAGGTAATGAAACAAAAAGTTGTGTTATGAAGTTCAGTTAATGTAGCAGAAAGGAAATCCCACAGCTGAATTGAACCTCAGGCTCATACAGAGCTGACAAAATGCTCAAACGCCAGGTACATTTGAGGCGATCCCATGAAGGAGAGGGGATTGAATAGAGATGAACAAATAGAATGAAGCTTTAAAAGGACAGCAAAGCTTTAYACAGTTTCAGAAAGAAACTGATTTCAGATATCATTTGTTGCCATGACTTGGAAGTACCAAATATAATCATAGTGTGAAAAAAAAATAATTGCATTTTCATCTAGAACAAAACAACTTCAGTAATTATATGTGTGGGCTTTTTTTTGCTAAGGCTACAATCTGGATTTCATTCTTCCACAGAAGAMTGTCAGATGAGAGGAAACAACTCATTTTAAATTGCCCAGACAAGGATTACAGGTTTGACTCACTCAGAGATTTATGTCTTTCAGCCTACATTTTTTCCTGCATCTCCTTTTCCAAAGGCTGTTCATCTGTTGCCATAGAGACCATTTCCARTCTCTTTTCACTTCCACAGGCACTATTCTGGCAGATCACTACTGCAGCTTCTCAGGCCACTCTGTCTGATGCCCGGGAGTAGCCAAGGGAAAATAGTAAAGCAGAACATCTGCAGGCACACAATACCCAGCTGCTGCTAGCAGAAATACTTCAATTTTTTTTATCCACAAAGCGGGTGTATAATTGAGAGGGTACGCAGCAGCCACTCAGCACGTGGAAATGTGGGCATTGATCACGACTGCCACATCTACCAGGACGTTTTTTCATCATTTAGAGGGATCTGTCACGTCAATTGCATTCCCCATTTTTTTTTCCCCTGACAGCTGGA